ATATATATATATATCAGTATTTTCTGCCGATAACCTTGGTATGCGGCACATGACAACCTTGAACGATTAGAGTGCTTTATGATTTTCTCCAGTTTGACAAAGCCTTCCCTTTTTGACTAGCGCTCGTGCTGTCCTTCCCTTATATTCCTCGCTACCTACTCTTGGGCGTTCCACACACCACACCCGCTCTATACCTCTAGTCAACAACTCCAACCCGACCGCCCCACGAAACCTAGTACCTGAAATCTTTAAGGCATGTTCTCTCCGTCTCCCATAGGGTGCGATAGCGACATGGCAAAGTTGGAGGGCAACGTCACCAAAGCTGCTATTGCCATTGATCCAGGCAAACTCACTTTCCTGGACCTCCCCACAGAGCTGCGCGTCATGGTTTACGATTAATTTACACCCGAGGATCAGTATATATTTAACTCCGGCCAGCCCGCATATGACGGCTTGTTACGCACCTGCAAGCAAATTCGGACGGAAGCACTAAAGGAGATCCAAAAGGCAGCCGACAAGTACTATCGCGCTTACGAAGCGAGGTGGTTACTTGAAGAAGGCTTCAGCATCAAGGTGGAACCCATTATCGATCCTGGAAAGGTCGTCGTCGTCTTTTCGGAAGATCACTTCATGTCCGATGCTTGTAAGGCGGGGAGACGTCGTAGTTGCTACCAATTCCACATTCCGTTGGCTTCTTTGAATCTCAAACATCTTAGTTTCAAGGTCTCCCGCAATTCAGAAACATCGCCGCCTCACCTGTTGGGTTGTGTTCCTGCTCACTGGGCCGTTACCCAGATGCTGATGTCTATCATCACATCTAATCCCCAAGCACGGCGGATCTACTTCCATCGCAACAGACTTAACTTTAGTTATGGTTATTCTAATGATGATTTTGGGACGTTGTGTACAACAGTGGAGGAAGGATGGCTGCGATACAGGGACCAAGAGGAGAAAAGTGTACCATATAAGTGGCTGTTGACGACGAATGTAGAATACAGCACGAAGACTGTACGTGGAATTTGGGTCGACCGTGTTACGAATTGCCTTGATTTGTAACATATAGGGTGTAGTGTCGAGGAGCATGTGGAATTGACCAACGCCAACGGAGGAGAAGTAGATATCAGCCCACCACCTTCTATTTTACACATCGCTAGCTCAAATGAAACCAATCTCAAGCCTCATGTTCCAGGTTTGCTTTAGCGCAAGCAGAAAAGACTTGAATCATCATTCACCACTCCCTCAATGCAGCTTTTTACCTTTTCAGAACCGTGATCCCCGAAGTCTTCGGCCCAGATCTCTTCTTCTTGACTTCCAGCACCGGCGCAGTCTTCGCCTTTTTCCTCGGCTGTACCTCATTAGGTTTCGCAGTCGTACCCCTCTTGATCCCCTTGCCCTTCGCTTGCTCGGCCTTTGCCCCTCCCCTCGGCCCCCTTTTAACGCCCTTATCTGCCCTAGCAGCCTTAGCTTTCGGTTCCGGCCTAAGCAATCCGTGATCTTTGATGTAGAAGATTAGGTCTAGCGCCAAGTCACAGAACTCCTGTGTGCCCCTGATAAGCTGCAACGGTTTCTTCTTGCTCTCCAACCCTGCTCTGTACCGATCCACAACTGCAAAGAAGATCTCGTTAGTATCTGCGTCGACTGCGTCGCGCATACGCTCGTATTCTGCGTCGCCGCGGTTGTGCTCAGTGTGGAAGTGTCCGCGTCCCGTGCCAAACTCGTCGCCGATTTCGTATTGCACGTACGCTTCTATCACCATGACGGCAATGGTGTGGAAGTTGAGGAGGGCAATGGCAGGTTCGGGATCCGGATTAGGAAGGGTGCGTTGGTTCGGGATGAAGATGTTCATCAGGAGATGGACTTCTTCGTCCGCATGGTCTGGGGACAGGAGGATTTCTTCACGGACTAGGCCAGGCAGGGAAACTTTGGCGCTGGGAATCTCTTCGCCCTTTGCGAGGGGTTGGCGTTGGACTTCGTACTGAGGAAGAGTCCAGTCAATCTCTTCAGCATTTTCCGAGGAAGGTGAAGCGTTGTCGGATGGAGCTGAGGCAGGTTGTGGGTTGCGTACTTGGTTCTGCTTGACCTCGCGTGTAGCATGCTTTGGCTTAGACTTGCTTGTAACGAGCTCAACATCAGAGTCATTATTCTGTCGTCGATGTCGCGCAATTCTGTTGGAAGCTATAATTAGAGGTGACATACCGATGACAGAATCACGGCTGCTAGTGACCGATGGGTGACGCTTCACTCGGCTTTGAAGAGGCTCATCATCATCGGAAGCATCGCCTTCGTCGCTACAGTCGTTCTCATCCGGAATCTTCTTCGGCGTCCCTTTAGGGCCCTGGGGGGTATACGACTCTATTACCCGAGTGTTCAAGCTAGGAGACGTTGGGATCTTTATCGTACTCTTGTATAGTGATGCTGGATTGAGGCAATAAGACATGTTCAGTGGCATTTGACTATAGGAGACTGTAGGTGAAGCTGATTGTTGGAATCCTGGACTATTGAGTCCATTTAAAACCTGCTGGTTGCTCAACTGAGGTGCGCGTTGGTAAGTCAGAGGGCCCGTAACAAACGATGGAGGTGCGTTCAATTGCCTCTGGGGATAGCCAAACCCATGAAGTGACCGTTGAGACTGTTGCGACAACTCTTCGTTCTGCTTCCTAAAGTCATCTAACTGCTTCTTCTGCCTTTCCATCTGTGCCTGAAGTTGTTGCTGGCGACTGAAGCTAGAACCGAAGTTGGGTTGGTTGCGTTGATCGGAAGGCCGTTGGGAGACATGACGTGGTTGCGCTGTTTGGAACTGTGAAAAACTATTCAAGGTAATGTTGTGGTTCGAAATACGTGATTCCTGATGACGAGGTGAAGACGACGTAGTGGTGAGGTGAACCGGATCCGGAAAGTCGGGGTGAGGCTGACTCCATATATCATGAACGCCAAGGTCTGGTTGGCCAGCATTGGAGATATGCGGAATATTCTTGACCTGGTCTTGTTGCTGTACGTTCATCTCATCAGATGTGAAGCCTGATGGTACAAGTTGATGATCGATCGCTGGACGGCCTTTGTGCTGTTTGTTGATAGCGCTTGGAGACCACTCTTGTGAATCAATCTCATCAGAGATATGGTAATCGTCGTTGAACACATTCTTTTCACCACGAGCAGCTTCTGGTGATGCGGTCTCGCTCTGCTGATAGTCACAGTCCACGTCATCGGCACCACGCTTGTTGACGGCCATAGGCACTTGCAACTTGCTAGGCTCAGGTACAGCGACCTGCGTATCAGTGATATCTGAGGATTTGTTGAAGGTGTTGTCGTTGGCTGGAACATGCATAGTACCGTCTCCAGGATGAGCATCAACATACATCTCATCTTGAGCAAGACCTCTGTGGGATTGATCTATCTGTTGACGTGCGTCATGTTCGAGCTCATCCTTGATGACCTTGACCTGACCTGACTCTTCCATAGGCTTACTGAGGGGGGTCGGAACCAAAGCTTGATCATCGTCCTTCTCGATCTTGATCTGTGGATCGGTCGTCTTCGAATTTGGGGATACAGTGTATCGATCATGTTCCCCTTCTTGCTTGACAATAGGACTTCCGCTAGAAGGACTGGAAATGGTTCTCGACGCTGTGCTAAGCTTCAGGGATATAGAAGTGCTATTAGCGGACCTTTGGTGGTCTGGTGAAGAGGACGTATTCGTGATCTTGGTCTCGGTGTTGTACTTCAGCTTGACCACGAGTTGCTTTTTCTGGCCTACACTGGACTCTTCTCCAGAACCTGAATCCATTTCTGGTGCAGTAGCAGCACCAGAGAATTTGTCTCTCACCATTCCGTTTTCGTTGGTATCGCACTCTTGGTCCGCGCTATCCTCAAGACATTGAGTGAGCTGATCATTCTGATGCGCTGCATTCTCAGGTTTCTGCATCTGATCGTGTACTTGAACAGGAACTAGAGGAGAGTGCTGAGGATTACCGATGGCATGTCGAGGATCTGGCGGGGTTTTGTCGCTAGCGATGTCCATAGCGTCGGGTTTTGGCGCAGTGTCGTAGAGGTGCAGTTATCTGTCTATACGCAAAGCCGTAGCAGAACAGCAATTTCAGTGTCGCAACAGACTATCGCTCACTGACTCTGGGATCTTTGCCAGTTTGCAAATCTTGAAAGGTGGTATGGAAAGTAAAGAGGATTGTAGGTCACTTTTCCGTGTGAGTAGTAGCGGGTTTATACCGAGTTCGCTGGCCAGTAATCGTTTACGCCCACCTTTACCTGAAAGCTTAATCAAGCGCTCTCTCACCTCTACACTACCACCTGCACGTTTGATCTGCAGACCAGAAGCTAGAGGCGCCAGTACGAAATGGGATCCCAAATAGAAGACTGAAAACTGCGATTGCGAGCGGAGCCTCGTCCGTCACGACAGACCGCTAATACTGGTGAGCAAGACACCGCGTTCTTGATTTGCTATGACGAAACCAGCGTGCGTTTGTTCACTCTGGAGCACTGTAAGGACATGAGACGTAATGACGACAATGAAACGGACGGTTAGGCTTGACAGAGTCAGCATACCTTATACTCTCCAGTAGAGTCAAAGGCTTACTGACCCTACATAATCAGCGATATTTGGAAGGGTATCTATTCCTCTCTACATCTTGAATGGTATCTCTTTCATCTCTTCAACGTCTCCATCCTTACACACCAACTCTTCCACCTCCTCACTGAATCCTCCCAATATCTCCCTTCAACCTCGTTACAAATTCCTCAAAAAGTGGCGCCAACGAACAATCCCGATACTTGTCCACAAAAAGGCCATCCTTACTCTTCAGAGCTGCAACTTCTTCAGTATCCATCTCCTTCCCTTGCAACACCGTACCCTTGGGATACACCGGCCTCGTCCCGCTTTCGACCAACTCCACAAACGCTGGGTCAATCGGCACGGAACCCAAGAAAGGGACTTCGAACTCTGTTGCCATGACGGCTCCGCCGCCCTTGCTGAAAACGTTTGTGCATTCCGAACAGTTTGGACAGACGAAGCCGGCCATATTTTCTACTACGCCAAGGACTCTGATGCCGGTCTTCTTGCAAAAGTTGAGTTCCTTCTTGACGTCGCTAACGCTGATGGCTTGTGGGGTCGTGACCACGACGGCGCCGGCCAGGAAGGGGAGATACGGGTTGAGAGCGGGAGAGGGCGTGGTGTTCTTCAAAAGTGTTTCGAGCAGAGAAATGTGTTCGTCGGAGGTACCGGGCGGCGTGTCGATGAGGAGGTAATCGAGCGGCGGCCAGAGGACGTCGGTGAGGAACTGGCGAACCATGGCTGTCTTCTTGGGGCCGCGCCAGATCACAGCATCGGAGCGCGAGGCTAAGATGAAGCCTAGTGACATGCAGGATAAAGATCCAATCTTTTGGCCATCCGCAGCCGCCTCTCCTCCTTCTGTTTGCTCCATTGTGCTTCCATCCTCTCCACCCCCTCTCTTGTGCGTAGCCAATGTCTGCTCACCGTGTACATCCACCGGTATCCAGCCACCAGGCGCTTGCCTTACTTTTTCATTCTCGATGCCAAAGAAGCGCGGTATGCTCGGGCCTGTCAAGTCTATATCCAAAACACCGACCGAATGTCCTTGTAGCGATAGGGTAAGGGCGAGTTGGGTAGTAACGCTTGATTTTCCGACTCCGCCTTTGCCGGAGAGCACAAGAAGGATGTTCCGTATGTTGTCAAGAGGCATGGCGAGATTGGAGGGTTTGGCGTGCCGGGGTTGACGCGAGCAGTGGGAGAATTGGTGGGGGTTACGTCAGAGCAGGTCGATGGAATGCACTTCGTATGGCAGTTATAAATAAAGGATTTTACTCGCAGAGGTTTAGTGTTAGTCTGGGGCGTATTCGGATGGGCGAGAGGAGGGGTGGTGTAGGTGGTACCGCGGATGGCGCATAGTGAGAGGTGATTGAGGGTTGTGGAGCGCGCTTTGAAATCCGAACGACCAGAAAGTGGCGGTTTGCGGCGAGATCGGAGGTCCGACCTTAACCCGAGCATGTACTAACACTTCTACTCAGGCAGACTGGTTGTTTGTACTTGAAATCGTATTGATTGCTCTGTATGATCAATATGAGGCAAACCAACAAAAACGCATGCCTATTGGTATCAAATATAACCATCTCCTGGAGCCCTGTCCCCTCGGCGCATAGATTGCCCAAATGCCGTTTCTAAACGACTGCCTTCTTCAGCGGGACTTCCTCACCAACCACCAATCTGTAACCTTCGGCACCCTTCTCAGTCTCCAAATCCTTGGGCTTTGCCGCCTTGGCACCAACCTCGGGGAAAGTAAACGCCTTGCTCCTGCCTCCCTCCAAACCGCGCCATGCACCGACCGTGTTCCAATTCGTCCAGGTCAATGCGCCGACCCATGGCTGCACATTCCATCCTAGCTCCAATGTGACATCCGTCCTGTTGCCCAGCTTGCCAGTTATATCGGTGATCTTGTATTTGGGCTTGTTGTTCTCGAGGTGCAGTTCGCCGATGGGGTAGGGCGACGTCGTCTTTGATTTGGACGCGGCGCGCTTCTTGGCGGATTGCTTGGGCAGCTTCGACTTCTTGTCGGGGTGAACAAAGTAGCCCGTGTGCCAGGGCGCCGACTTGGAAGCGAGGATGGCATCCCAGATGATGGCTTCGGACGGCGGTTCTGAGGCGCGTGTTGAGGGGTAGACGGCTTTGAGGTAGACGAAGACTTGCTTGGTGTTCCAGTTGAAGAGCGAGCTGAGATCTGTGCATGAGAGTGTTAGTTCTGCTGTTGCATTTGTATAGCCGTAGCATAGTTGTGATTTGTGTAGGAGACGTACCAGCGTTGAGGTCGAACTTGATATGCGCGTATTCCTCCCTCTTGGGTGAGTAGTAATGCGGCCGCCCCATTACCAATTGTACATTCTGCAGCGCTATGCTGGCTGACGGGTTCTGTGGGGAGATGAAGCTACTCAGTGCAATGACGCTCGCGACTGTGAAAGCGACCGTGGTGAAGAAGCCAAAGACATTCTGTAGACGCACAAGTGTCGAGTGCATCGTAGAGGTGGAAGATGAGCGCGGGGCTCTTTCTTTGAACGTTTGTCGGCTATGAGAGGAAGAGAAGCTCGTTAGAAGTGGGCGTATGCGTTTAGCTTTCGCTGGGTCCTAACACGTATCTGGACTGTCGCGCGGAGGTCGGAGCTCAGCCCTATGAAACCAGGGTTCACCCATTCCACGCTAGTCCATCATCTCCACGGTTAGCATCTGACCTTGGACGACTGGACTTCACCAAAAATGTCGGGTATACATAATAGTTCATTTGCGATTGCTACAGATAATGTGACATGGGTATCAACCTGCGCACAAGCTATCCTACACCGTCTTCTCCCATATCATCTTGTCCTCTATCTGATCCTATCATCTACGGGTATCATCTATGCATTTCCCATGTTATGTTCGAGCTGAACGCCGTGACGCCACGCTAGCATGCTTTGTGAAACGCTCAAACAACCCCGAATCGAAGTTCAGATGTACTATGAAGAGGAGTCTACTGGGCAGCAGGTGGTGCGCCGCCCCTTGGACCTCCACGTCCACGGAAACCACCACGACCACGGCCTCGTCCTCTACCACCTCGTCCACCATCAAGATTTGCCGGCGGTGGTACGTTCGAGTAGTTTCGCGGCTGGAAATTTGGGTTGTTGGGCACAACTCCTTCAGCGGGATCAGTGTTGTCGATGACGGTGAAGCCTCCCCGGCCCTTGTAGCCTCCTCCTCGTCCACGCGGGACGAAATCAGCAGAGCCACCTCGCAGATTACCGCGAGTGTTTGTGCCATTGGGAGCCTGGTTCTGGTCTTGAGAGGCTTGGCCGTTGACTTGTCCAACACGGGGAGCGGTTCCGCCCCGGCCACCACGACCACCACGAGGTGGTCCGCCATGGATTGGCAGTGTCTGCTGCTGTCCTTGCTGCGGTCCAGAGCTTTGACGTGGTGCCATGCCTCCGCCACGTCCGTTCGCGCCTCCGAAAGCTCCTCGGTATGAGCCACGGAGGGGTGGTGGCGTACCCGCTGGAACTAGCCCAGGGCCTCCAGGAGCACCGAAGCGGGGCATGTTGTACGAAGTAGGCGCTTGTTGTGGACGCCTGGCGGCAGCAGCACTAGAATAATGCACGACCTGCTGATCCGTCATGTTCACAACTGCAGTAGCCGGTACAGTTGATCCTCTGAACGGAGAACAACGGTCGCCGAGAGAAGTACCGCTCATAAAGGTAGCGTCGAATACAACATCGAGCAACAGAACACGCGCAGTGCGGGTTTTGCCAACCACAGTACCTGACGATCCGATTGGGACCCTTCCAGAGTCTTGAACATAGACGATGCGATCGCCAATGCTGAAGTGCTGGTGTCCCAATCGTTGTTCTGCATCCGAAGGCTTCAGCAGAGCGACACGGGGCACCTTTGTGACCGTCTTGGGCTCAACTTCTTGGGTGAGGGGAAAGTTGGCATCAGCGGCTGCCTCGATGAGCTTGACTGTATCCGAGTCAAGCTGCTCAGCGTCCAAGGGTACCTTCTCAAAGTTCTTCGTCTGAACACTCTTGAGCCAGGCTCCAATCTCCTTGACCTTCTGCTTCGCAACTTCGGGAGGATAAAAGTCCGTGTCTTCCCAGCCGTCACCCGTCGGGTTCATGATAATGGCGGCGATAAACTCCGGGAACTTGGTCATATACTGTTGCAAGAGGTTTATCGCCTTCTCGCTATACTCCCATCCGTTGGCTGACTTGCGAGAGTAGCCCAATACCTTGAGCTTCTTCGCTTCAAACTTGAGGTTCAGACCGAGATTGAGTTTAAGACCGCTTGAGTTGACATTGAATGACGACGTGAGCTTAGACAACGCAAGCGGCGGCATATTCAGATGCCTTGCCACCTGGTAGGATGGAAGATACGGCATGGACCTTTCTGCCATGATGACGACTTCGCGTCCAAAAGCTGGCTCTTGCTTCTTTAGCTTGGCGACCATGATTGTGGCCTTATTGTCGGCGTGGCCCATGACTTGTAAGGGACGGCCATACGCGTAGTCTCCAAGGTAGAATGCTCGGGCTCCCTCGGGGAACTCTTCTTCAATAGGAAGCGCCTCTTTTTCTATAAAGCGAGCATCTGCGCTGACAACCTCATCTACAACTGTTTGTGTTGCATACTCCACTTGTAGTCCAGCGACCTCGCCGTATTCCTTGATGGTAGCGCCTTCGTCAGTCTTCTTGAGTCCCTTGAGCATTTCTACGTGCACAAGTGACTCGATCTCTCCGACATTGATGCCAAGACGCTTGCTGTACTGGCTTTCGATGCGGTTCGCAGTCTTCTTCCAGTTGGAAATCTCTTGGGGTCCATGAGGAATAGCAACAGGCGCAGGAGAATCGCCGCTCTCTGGCAGAACGTAGTCGAACAGCTCATCCGACACTTTTATTACCTTTGCTTCATGTAGGAACGGGTAGCCAACATGAACAGCCTTGCCGAGTTTTGCTTGTGCGTGCCCGACAGACTGTCGTGGCTCCGTATCTAGTAGTGTAATGACCATGCTCTCGTTACGGCTGTCTTGTTGGAAAACATTGACACCTGCAAACTCAAGCTTGCCATGGAACGGCAGAGTCTTCAAGCTAGGGAAGCCGGCCAGAGCTGAGGCACCCAGTTTGACGCCGTCCATGAGGCCGATGTAGTATTCTAGTCCGTCCATAGTCGGTAGGTCGAATATGTTCTCGATACACTTGCAGTGGGGAAGATCCGGGAATACACCTGGCAGAGACGACTGGTAGATAAAATCCAAATCTTTAGCGTAAGTGAACTTTAACGAAACGCCAAATGAATTTCGCTGCTTCTCGTCCGGTGTCAGGTCGTTCTCCTTGGTTGCCATGGCCTTGAGCAGACGATCTTCCTGGATGAATGGAATCTTGACGACAGCCTCCCAATCCTGCTTCTTTCCGTTCATATCGAGAGTGAAGTCTCGAGGATAGAAGTCGATGATCGGCGAATCCTCATTGGTCATGAGGGGATGGTAGGCTTTTGGTACGATGCTCTTACTGCGATCAGGCAGGACACCCATCAGTTGCTGGAAGGGCTTGAACGGCTGTCCAAGTCTGAAGTTGATGTCCGCCTTCAGACCTCGCTTAACGTCGGAAATCATAGGCGAGTAGTGGTAGCCATAGTACCATGGCCATGACGCGACTCCACGGTAGTAGTAAAAGAGAACCCACTGCAATCCTTGGACGTAGTTCTCCGTCAGTTTGCGAAGCTCTTCCTCGTTGCTGCGATCCCAGTCGAACTTGCTCTTGTAGTAGTCGTTCTTCCACGCGTCAAACTTCTCGTCGTATTTCTTCTGCATCTCCGATTGGGCATCCTCAGGCGAGATGTCAACGATCTTCGCCTGTTCGTACTTTTGTACAACGCGTACAATCGCTTTCGTGGATTCGTCATCCATCTCATCCTCCTCATCCGAGTCACCTTCAACTAGCTTAGGTGGAGGTGTAACCTGAATGTGACGGTCGCCGTCGTCATTTTGGACAGTCTTCCAAGGGAGATGTAACTTGTCGGCAAGTTCTTGTACGAACTTTCGATCCTCCGCGTTGAGAGATACCGGAAGGTCCAACGGAGCTTGGTCTTTCTTTTCCATATAATTACCCAGCCAGCTCTTGACCTTGGAGAACAGTTCCTTCTGCTGCGTGGTCATGACAACCGTGCCTCGTTTCGCCGTTTTGGCCATTACATCCTCCTTTCCAAGTTTCTTACCCTTGAACCAAGCAGCATCGGCATTCTCCGATTCGAAATGACGGTATTCGATGTTTGAGAGTTCATCCAACAAGATAGCCAGGCGCTCCATGTTGATGACACCACCCTCGTTGATGTATCCTTTACCCTTGGGTAGGACAGTCTTGTAGACGTTGAACATGAGGGCCAAGGCGCCCTCGTTGATATGCAAATGTGGAAGATTAGGAAGGAAATCGTTACCAACAAAGAAAGCCATGAGAATGAAATCGTCAATGACACGCTCCATGTCGAATGGGAAGCTAAGAGCACCGGGCTCTTCCAGTTCCTGGAACTCGAGTTCCAGGTATTCTCGAACAATGCTAAGATGCATGAGGTAAAAGTTTTGGTGTTCCAACTCCTTGGACTTGGTTTGGCTCTGGCGGCCGAACGTCACCTCTTCACGCAGCAAGCTGAAGTGGGGGTCGTGGCTGAGCAGACCCAACATGATGAGGTCGGCATCGAGACCGTACAGGCAGTGGCGGCGGTTGGGGTCGTACCCCGGCTGTGCCTTGGCCTGACGGATGTACTCCATGACCTTGTGCTCTCCCTCTCCGGGGACCTCGTGACCAGACAGCACGACTTCCACGCCCTGCCAGTCTATGTCCTCGGAGACCTTCTTGTTGATGAAGTACTTGAGCTGCTGCGTGAGCTTCGCCATGAAAGCAGTGCCTGGCGTAATGCAGTTGCTGTCGAACGCTTCCTCGGTCGGCATCTCTACGCCTTCGCGGATAGCCTTCTCCCGAGCCTTTTCAGTATCGAGAGCGGTTCGGAAACGTCGCGCACGCTGCTGGTTCATCTTGGCGCGCGGGGCGACACCATCGATGGCCATGAAGAAGAGCTGTTTGGGCTTAATTTTGCCAAACAAATGCTCGATGTAGTTGAAGATGGAGATGAACATCTGATCTTCGGACTTGCGCGCCGTGACGCTGTCGGAATCGTTGTGGGTGCAGTTATGGATGATGCCGTTCATGTCAAGCTGTGACTGTTAACTAACTGTGCGCATCGAATGCGACACAAGAGCACTTACGTAGAGACAGTCGAATTCGGGAATGCGGTTCTCAGCAATGAGCTGCGAAATACCCGGATACCTTTCGGACATCCATCGAAAGAACTTTGGGACACCCATGGCTGCTGCTCCTGTCTAGGAATGGCTGAGGATAGGTTGTGGATTGTGTACAAGTGGCGGGGCTGAGAGTCGCAATATATAGTGGGCGACAAGGGGAGAAGATGGCAGTGAGAGAGGCGCGCAAAGGCGCTGGGGCGAGAGGGCGAGAGAGAGTATAGGGTGTTGGTTCTCGACGCTGGGGTCTTCAAAGAGTCGGAGTCTTGATCATAGACGCAATGGATATACGGGCGGCGACTGCCAAGCAAGTGGGGCGCTAATGGATCGACATCGGGGTTGGTCCAAACGCGAACTTTGGGAGCGCGTCGTGCGCCGTAGCTTCTGCGCATCACACTTCAAGATCGCATATATCCCACCACGCCCTTGACTATTAGCATACATTCACCCTCACCATGGACGAGACTATGAGTGGTAAGTCTGTTCACCTGTTGCGGGTTTGTTTTGCGACATTGCCATGTAGACTGAAGGCGAGCGAACTTCGTATACCACACCGACACAGTTGGCACATGGCGTACCAGCTCACTACCATACATGCACAGTCGCTCAAGCCCCGACACTTTTGAACCCCTCAGAGACTTGGTTCTAACACTATCGCGACAGACGCTCACGATTCCCACGAGATGGACGACCAAGAGCAGGTGGAGCAGAAGCTCATCAACGAAGAGTACAAGATATGGAAGAAGAACAGCGTCTTTTTATACGATATGCTGTACGGCCGCGCGCTCGAGTGGCCTACGCTCACTACACAATGGCTTCCCGACAAGAAGCCTGTAGAAGGCACCAACATGAGCCAGCACCGCGTCATTCTTGGAACCCACACGTCGAACCAAGCCCAAAACTACCTACAAATCGCCCACTGCGAGATACCCGAATTCCGGGTTCCAGACTTGTCAGAGCTTAACGAAGAGCGCGGAGAAATCGGCGGCCACGGCAATGCGAAGCGACCCTTTGACTTCAAGATTGTGCAGAAGATCAACCACCCTGGCGAGGTCAACAAGGCGCGCTACCAGCCTCAGAACCCCGACATCATAGCATCGCTGTGTGTAGACGGCAAGGTGCTCATCTTCGACCGGACCAAGCACCCGCTGCAACCAAAGGACGATTCGATCAAGTTCGAGGCCGAGCTTGTAGGCCATAGCAAGGAGGGATTTGGCTTGAGCTGGAGTCCTCTGAAAGAGGGACACTTGGTGACGGGTAACGAGGATACCACAGTGAAGACTTGGGACATCAAGAGTGGCTTCTCCAAGAGCAACAAGACCATCAGTCCAACGGCCACATACAACGTTCACAGTGCAACCGTCAACGATGTTCAATACCACCCGATCCACAACTTCCTCATTGGTACCGCGTCCGACGATCTTACTTGGCAAATCATCGATACTCGTATGGAAACACACAAGAAGGCACTGTACAGGAAGGAGGCCCACGACGACGCAGTCAACTGCATCTCGTTCCATCCCGAGTTTGAGGGGACTTTCGCGACAGGCTCGGCAGACAAATCAGTCGGAATCTGGGATATGAGGAATTTCGACAAGAAGCTTCACAGCCTCCAAAATCACGCCTCAGATGTCATTGGTCTGCAATGGCACCCGCAAGATGCTGCCATTCTTGCCAGTTCCAGTTACGATCGCCGTATTTGCCTGTGGGATCTCAGCAAGATCGGTTCTGAACAGACGGCTGAGGAAGCAGAAGATGGCCCCCCTGAACTGTAAGTCATCGCGAACCTATTGTCAGCTCACGTACTAACATGCAACAGACTGTTCATGCACGGTGGCTTCACGAACCGAATCTGCGACTTTGACTGGAACAAGAACGATCCATGGCTCATGATGGGCGCTGCAGAGGACAACCAGCTGCAAATCTTCCGTCCCGCGCGCAAACTCGTTGAGCCAATCAAGAAGACTGTAAACCACGGAGATGTCTCAGACTGAGCTCCCTCCATCGTGTGTCTTCCTTTTGAGATGGCTAACATGAGGGCACTTGTAGGGTAAGGTAGCGGTTCCCGTACCGATTGTACCGGTTTTCGATGCTTGGGAGCCATCTTCGTCGCCTCTGAGTTCTATACCTGAAAGTTCTATACCCGAAGAGGAGAAAGCAAAGCCAGAGCAAGAGATCGCTGCTAATTCTGATGAGAGTGAGAGGACTTTGTATTTGCCCGCTACTCCGCCTTCTTCTCCATAGTAAGGAAGAAAATAAGAATGGTGTTGGGCGCAATGGCTTGGTGATATCCTTTGTCGGTTTCTTGCGATTCTAGTCGCGTAAACACATGAATCAAAACTCATCTACCTCAATCCACCATCGCTGATATTAGTGAAGATGGAGGCTTCGTAGTGCTGTTGAGCGGGCGAGGGACAAGGGGCCCATGCTCACCTCCGAGGTACGAGCTCCCAGCTCCCCGCAATCGTCATCCCATCTCTCATGCACCCGCCATGTGAAATCAACATCACCAGCTCAGACGCAGAATCTGGGCTTGCATCGATCAACATCTGACCCTCTATATTGACACGCCAGCTTCAGTCGAAGCAATCTGCCATGCTCCTCCTCGGCCTCACAGGCTCCATCGCGACGGGCAAGTCGACCGTCTCATCCATCCTCTCCAAGCCGCCCTATTCTCTCCCAATCGTAGACGCCGACCTCATCGCGCGGCAAGTCGTTGAACCCGGCACTGCAGGCTACAACGCCATCGTCGAGCACTTCCTACCTACCACACCAGATCTGCTTCTTCCCGATGCGACGCCCAAAGGACGCCCGCTGAACCGACCAGCACTAGGACGGAGAGTCTTCGGCAGTGGAGAAGAGAAGGAGCGCGACCGAAAGAAGCTGAATAGCATCGTACATCCTGCAGTACGAAAGGAGATGTATAGACAGATGGTATGGGCATACCTGCGCGGCAACTGGGCGGTCGTGCTAGACGTCCCTCTCCTTTTTGAGAGCGGCTGGGAACGCTACTGTGGCACTATCCTCGTTGTTGGCGTGTCGGATCCCGCAATTCAGATACAACGCCTACGCGATCGTGATTCGCATCTTACCGAAGAAGATGCGCGGAACCGCGTTATGAGTCAAGGCGACGTGCGCGAGAAAGCGGAGCGCTGTTTGCGGAGAGGCCCGGGTAACGGCGTCGTGGTCTGGAATGATCACGACAGGAGCTATCTGGAGAAAGAGATACAGAGAGTCATGCAGGATGTTAGAAGCAATAGTCCGCGGTGGTGGAGTTTCCTGCTTTGGGTGAACCCGTTGTTTGGTGCGCTGGCTGGTCTGTTGAGCTGGTACAAGATGCGGAACGTGCAATTACAATGGGAAGAACAGAAGAAGCGGGAGAAGGCGAAACTGTAGGACTTGATTTGATTTGTTGATTCTGTTGGCTGTGCGCTGAAGACAGAAGGAGTGTCGGTGCTAATGTGTGTTGGTGTTTGTTGGATGTGCGCATAAATATCTTAGCAATTGGCGGCACAGGTGCTGTGTCACGGTAAATGCTTTCAAATTCCTCAGTTTGTGTGTTTATTTCATGTCTTTTAATCATGTCTCGCCGGTTTGCATATTGTTTTGCTCTCGTCGTTCTGCTAGGCAGTCGAAAAGTTGTCTACCTTCACTTCTGCTCCACTGTCGCTGCAATGCGTTCAAAATCCACCACACCACACCGACGTTTCTTCATCCGCCCCGCCGCTTGCAAATCAGCAGGCTGGAACCGACCTTCTCTCTGTAAAACATATTTCCACGGGCCTCTTAAACGTCGTTCTGGCGAACTGCAATTAAATGACCGTAGTGCGAGCATGAGTTCCATAACGCCCCAATCCTTTGTCGACGATGGCGGATCCTTCACCAAGCGCATACCTCGCGGTCTCGATCAGCGCTACGTTGCGCGTTGGATCGCTAGAAGCAAATCAGAGACCTCAGCCTACACGGGCAGTTTTATCGATGACGGCGCGGACATGCAACTCCCTCCTGGAGTAGCACCAGGCTTTGGTCCAATCGACACACGATTTTACAAGCAGAAGAAACGAAAGGAATCCAGAGATGGCGTGGAGACAGTGTGGAATGATGACGTGCAAAAGGCGATCAGCGGAGATATACAACGGAACTTGGAGAAGATAAGGGGATTGGGTGGACTGGAAGTTAAGCGGACGGATCGTGATGGCTATCAGGACAAGAAACCTAGGGATCAAGAGAAGGCGAAGAAAGATACTGTGACTGTCCCTATGCCACCTCAATGGGGAACCTTCGTCATCAAAGCAGATGATGGTCGCATTATCGTTGTAGACAAAGATGGTGAGTTTGACTCCGGACCACAGAAGGCTCTCAGTGAGCAACCAAAACATTGGGTCAAAGCAGCATCTACCGTCGAGTCGGCCTCTCTGGCCAAAGGTCTGGTTCCACATTCTACACCGATGCATCGCATGTCTTCCCGTCAGACAAAAGAACGTTCGAAACAGAAGCAGAAACAAAAGAGTGGCACTGAGAAGAGTATGAGAAACAATAAGTCTCGTCGCTCGCATCTCTCATCATCCAAGACACTTACACCCATCTCCGAATCAGAATACGAAGAAGGCTACCTGCACTCTGATGGCGAAGACATGGGTTCGCCGACGGGTTTTATGATGACGGGTGGAGCGAGCGGTTGGCCCTCTAGCAGAGCTACATCTGTAGCTCCTACAGCCGTATCCGTGAGCGACGCGTACGAATACATTGTGCCAGGATCTCCAGTCAAGGCCATCAGTAAGGGATTCAGATATGTCAGACCACGCTCACAAGATTACAAAGACATCGTTCCGGCGTCGAACTCCTGGATTGAGAAGAAAGTGTCTCCTGACATATTGTCAGTCAAAGGAGATACGAAGGTATTGTCAGAGGCATCTTGGGATGGTGGGCAGTTTGAAAGTGCATGGAAAGTCGCCAGTCCAAGTCACTCATGCAAGAGCCACAGATCGACCCATACTAGCAACAAGTCGCCAAAATCCAAGAACGACTCGGACAGTGCTTCAGGGAAGAGTCATACAACGTACAAAGCGTCTACAGTTGAAGATGCGTCAGGAGAGGAGGACTATATTGCGACTGGATGGGGCGGTAGTGTGAAGAGCACTGGAACTCAAGGTTGGGGTCGTGACCAAAATAACAATGAGAGGAGTTCTAGTAGTAAGAAAGAAGACAGAGAATCTGCGTGGACGTCGTCTGCAAACACGCCTCACCCACATACCTGGGCAGGTGTGGGCAGCAAGTCTTCAAGCGAGCGAAGCTGGAGCAAGAGACCCAAAGCCACTGACAATGCTAGTTGGACCGGTGTCGAGTCTCCTACTTTTCAGCGAATCGCTAACAGTCCTACGTCTGTACATTTTGGCAGTCCGACACTTCCCTCGGGCGATACTACATGGGATGGTCTTGAGAGAAACAAATCAACCAGTGAGGTCGGTGTCGTAGACACAGGAAGTGAGCATGCGTCTCTGGGTCGCCAAAGCCGAGTATCAAGTCTACAGTCTGCTCGTCGAAGTCACGGTAGCCATGATACCCGTAGAAGTCATAGAAGCAGCAAGCACGTACATACTACAGGCTGGGAAGACGGTCAAGCAGGTTGGGCGGGCGGAAGTCAGACTAGCCATCTGAGCCGACACTCCCAACAACCTGACGATGCACCCATTTGGCCTGGTAGCCGTGCCATTAGCGAACAGAGCTGGAGTAGTCAGAAGGCTCGTGTTGATGACGACAGCGGAGGCCAATGGGGTGGTGCCGATCAAGATGTGGGGAAATACGCGAATGGATATGATGAGGACAACGCGACATATCTAAACGATAATTGGAATGGTGTTCCGGTGAGGGTTGGGAGTCGCGCGGGGAGCAAGAGCCCGAGGCAGAGTAGTGCCGCGACGGGCTGGGTGTAAGGATGGCGCGACAGGGCAATCGCGAAGGAAAAAAAGCAAGTGGGGCAATAGGAAGACCAATTGACATGTCGAGTCAGTTCGTAGAACGCATAAAATTACTAAATCTTACAAAATGTTCAGCTCAAGATAACGGTGTCTACCAAGGCAGGGCTGTACAACAATTAACATGCACATCAGCAGTCAGCATGGCGAACCAACGAAACTCAGCCCTGCGAGCGTGATGCAGCAAACTCGCGTGCATCCCGCCTCATCGCGTTCTGCAATGGGAGCCCGCGTACATATATGCGCGTCGAAACACCAACGGCAAGCAGCGCGATACTCGAAGGACCAGCAGATGGTCCAAACTTGACAAGGTCGCCAACCACCTATAAGTCTATGACATACCTGTGACAATTGGCAGCCTCAGAGCAACATACGAGAAGCCTCGGACAGGCGCCTCTACTGCACGTACTACTGCCTCAGCACACTGTAAGCTGCAAGGCCTAGGGTGTACGCGCAAAGAACGAAGCACCGTTCACGTCGTTCACGTCTATATCGCGAGCGCGCCGAGTCGCGTTTTGGTGGCGCAAGTGACACTGCAGGTGGATCCGGAGCGTGGTAGCCAATGGAGGGTATTGCATAAAGTGGCTAGGAGGGTTAAAACCAGTTTTCCGTCATAGTTTCGGGACATGATCCTGGCCTGAGTGGAGAAGACGGACGCGATTGTGGGAGGCGGCCCCTAAGTGCGTGATGGACACGCTAAAGTACGAGGGAGACTGGGGACGCGTTTGAGTGCTGGTCTAATAGCTTCGTGACCCAGCTGCACATCCATCTCTCTTACTCTTCTTCTCCAGGCTTGACTCTGTGTGTTCAGGTTCTCTGTCGTTGACCCAGACATTCTCTAATCATTGCAAGAGACGAAGAGTTCATCGTTGTTGTTCTTCTTGTTTTGGTCTGGCCGCCTTGAACCGACCTAGTCGCGAAAGAGATACGATAACCAAACCACCCCACCTTTCGCACCTTCCGTCCCAACGACAATCACCTTCAACACCACTACCGCGAGTCCTCAGTCGCCTCAATTGCGCTTTCGGGCCGATATATCTATTTGTACATCATATCAATCGCTATCGCGACATTTTCGACAGTCTTTACCATGGCCACCTCTACGCGCCAGCCCTTTGGCGAGATCGGCTCGTCACGGCTCCAGGTACTCCAGAGCGCGAAGAACAGGCAAAATGGTAAGGCGTTCCAATTCACGTGCCACTGCATTCACTAAACGCGTATGCGACAGCCATCTCGCCAAATTTCACCTCGCCGCAGGGTCTGAAGTCAATCCCCACGCCGTCGACGGGTAAGCGCCAACGCGCACCCGAGATCTACGAAGATGCCGACTCCGAGAACGTGGACCCTTCCGTCTTCAGCAGCCCGACCAAGAAGTCGAGGACGGCCAACAACAGCATCGACGCGGGATACATCAAGCCCGCCAGCTTCTCCATCTTCACTTCGCCCATCAAGCCCAGCAGCAGTGCCAGCCTCAATGCCACGCCTTCCGTTCCGTCTGTGCGCAAAGCTCTCTCTTCACCCAGCACCGCCAAGTCAACGCCCATCACCAACAGCCGGGGCTCACCCAAGAACAAGCGTCTCCATGCCATTTCCAAGCGTCGCGCATCCAGCTCGCCCTTCCGACGCGTCGACCCACCCTCCTTCAACCTGAGCAGCCCCAGCCTACCCTTCTCCATCGACGCAGCCCTTAGCGGCTCAATCTCCACCTACACACCCAAGGCCCCCACTGTAGCCGCCACTCCCGCCTCAGCACCAGCCGCCCAGTCAGTCCCTGTCCTCGATGACAACATGCCCAAGAGCTGGTTCTTCGACATCCACGAGGACACGCCCGAGCAAGAAGCCGCAAACCTCATGGAACATTCGGCATCCGTGCTAGACATCTCATCCGACGACGACGCAGCAACCAAGTTCCGCAATGAGGACCGCGGCAAGGAGAACGTCCCGCCTCCAGACTTCCTCGCTGCTGCAAACACCCGCAAGCGCAACCATGCTTCTTCCTTGGACGACGGCTATGAGACTGATATCCTGGTCCAAGCACCTGCTAAACATCCTCGTCGCACGCGCAAGGTTGTTCAGGATGCTATGGATGAGGACAGGAAGCCGCTGGGTGATCTTGCGCCGAGCGAGTTCTACGCTGAGGGCTGTGACGCCACAAGTTACGTTACCGTTGACGCGGGAATTGAGAAGCCGTCAGGATTGTCCAAGGAGTTTGATGCTAGCAGTGTGACACCAGAGAAGAAGAAGAAGCATGTCGTTGTTGAGGAGGTACCCGCTGCAGTTGAGGAAGAGACAGCAACACCATCAGTATCTGAGGACATCGTTGCTGCGCCTGCTGCTGTTGACGTACCTGCTGTCGAAGCCGCTATGGAGACCACAGCACAGCCATGTGAGGTACCTGTTGCAGCGTCATGAGCCATGTTCCTTGTTTCTGCTTTATTCTTCTTCTCTTTCTGTCTACTTTGGACTACCCAATTGGCGTTTGGATTACCTCAAGGCGTTTCTATTAGCTTATCACGATCATGTCCACGCTTGGTTACGTGTATACGATGGGATCAGGCGTTTTAGGTTTCTTGTCTATCCTTGTGATACCTTTACTGCGAGCACATAGCTGCTCACTTGTTATGCCTGAATAATACCAGAATGTATTTTCAACAGATATTCTATTGCTGTGAACACTGACTCTGATGATCGTGATGACTATGCTGCGAGTTTCTTTATGATCCGAGTATCGACTTGTCGTACTCTGTAGTCTTGTCTATGGATTACCCTAGTTTCACTTCCGCGAGTGCGCGTCTGAAGTACCTCTTCCTCCACGACCGCCTCGGCCGCGTGGTACATACGAGGCATTCGCGTCGTGCTGGCCGCGACCCCGACCACGCGAAGGCGCAGAGTCACCTCGACCTTGAGCTGGCGGTACGAACTGTCCGCGACCGCGCGAAGGAACAAAGCCACCCTGATTATGAGCAGGCATAAACTGGCCACGACCATATGAAGGCGCAAAGTCACCTCGGCCTTGAGCAGGTACGAATTGCCCACCACGACCACGATGACCTCCGTTGAACGCACCCCTACCCCCACCTCTTCCACGATTTCCATGCGTGGGCAGCGGCCAGAACTTCTCCCGCATTTCTCTATCCACACCCGCACTTCTCTCCTCCATCGCACGCAGTACAATCGGCCCGCTCTTTCCCTCTCTCACAAGCACCAGAGCGCGATTCGGTCTCCGCTCCCGCTTCAACACATCCCTGAAGCGAACAAGCAGAGCGACGAGTTTTCTCAACGACTCCTGTTGTTTCGATTCCCATATCTTCACTCTATCTGTCGCGTCTTCTTTCTTAACTCGATTCACTGTTCCAAGCCCTTTATCATAGGGTCCAGTGAAGAGTAAACTTGTGCGGCCGAACCAAAGCTGGTCTTGACATTGGACCAGACCCGCTCCTTCTGGGTTATACGCTTGCGTCTTGAGCTCTAGCATCTGGGAGGTGGGAATGATGTGGCCTTTTTGCAGGACGCGGATTGGGGCATTGTATGTGAATTTTCCGCGTTCAGCAAGGCCTCCTTCGTTTGCTCCACGTACAGCTGCGGCTTCGGTTTGAGTAAGATCGTCCGGGATGATGCCATCGTCGTAGGCATCTGCTTCGAAGCGACAGACGACGTTGAGGGGACCCATTGTGTAGCGTATCGCACGGTAGTGACTTGTTGCATCTTCCATACCTTCGGTTGTCCGAGTAAAATCCTTTTCGAAGTTGAAGCCGTAGCTCTTGCCATCTGCATGTTTCCACCATCGTGATTCTCGGCGTACCTGGAAGGTGCGCGGACGAAGTTAGTCTATGTCTCATATCCAGTTGGTACAATGAATTCCTTACGATGACGAGCGTGTTGAAGACAAGGTAGATATTGAGCCGGAAAGGCCCGTTTGATTTGCCTTGGGCGAATTCTAGTAAGATACGGAGATTGTTTCGGTCTGCGAGGACATCGACATCATGGAAATTGGTGTTTGGCGCCATGAGGTTCAGCGCATGGAACATTGGCAAGTATGGATTCCTCGGCTGACGAGCGTAGTTGTAGTCACTATATGTGAAGCCACTATCTGGTTTGAGCGTGTGTGGTAGGGGTGGTTGTTGCCATTTTGCTGGCTCACCCGGCACTAGATATGCGTGAGTTTCTACGCACTCAAGGTCTCGAAGGATATTTGCCTGATGACAGGTCGAAACCTACTTACCAAAGATAGTATTCGTGCCATCGTCGGAAGCTTGCCAGTTGTAGCAGCACAATAGTTCCGGATCTCGGTCCCATACTACCTGTTCCGCTACCGGTATGAGTTCATCCTTGTCGATGGTCTCTAGGATCTCACCCGCATCTCTTGCAATACTTTGGTCGAAGCGCTCTTTTTTCTTCTGTTGTTTCTTAGCTTTGACTGGATCGACCACAACCTCCTCTGTAGGCTTGATATCGGCTTCGTCTTCATCATCCAAATCGGAATCCTCGTCCTCTTCGGTTGCGATGACGGGTTCTGTGTTGCTGTCGTCCTGAAGCTGCTGCCAGCTCGATCCTCCCAAGGCGAGAGCAATCTTGGACTCGAAAGACATGGTTGCTGATCTCATGTTTGGTGCTGCAGGATCATCCACAGGATTTGGCCCGATGGTGCGTTGTTTTTGAGGGTTATGAGAGGATTCTGATCCTGTTGCGTCTGACCCGTGTCCTTCTCTCCCTCGCTTCCTTCCGTCACTGAGACCAGAAATGGAGCTTTTCTCGCTAAAGGCTTCAATGAATAGTGAGTGAAGGGTTGAATTTAGGTTGCTTGACCAACGAACCGTGCATGCCGGTCGTTCGGTAGTGCTCTTGGGAATCGTACTATTGAGAGGAATATGCGATGCGCAAAGTAACTCAAAACGAGAGATTCATACGCGCCCCCCCAAAGTGAGTGTAGTGATAGATTGGGTATGTTCTGCGGGTATCTAGATGTTGCGGATCAGGGGGGATTATAATCGCACACGTAGCCAGCGTGCCGTACGTAAACACAGACAGTATATTTCAGATATACGTATATCCAACTGAGTTTAGGTTGCTGACAGACATGAAAGATGTAGTGTACAAAACGAGATTCTGGGTTGCGCAGGGAGACGATACAGAACTCAGTTAGCGTTTCGCGTAACAACATGTCGCGTATGATCCGCCCGCCGTACCGACCCCTACCGCGGCATGAGTCAAATGCACATGACGATATCAACAAGCTTATCAGAATTCCAGAGACCAGATATAGCATCGTTTCACTCCATTTTCCCAAACGAACATGTCTATATACTTTCAAACTACAGATATATCATCACAACTTCCATCCACGTTTCTTCGCAAGCGCCGTCTCCTGCCTGACCGCCAAATCCGCAATGATCTCCTCACTTCCACCACCAACAACCTGTGACATATTAGCATAGTGTCCTTGGCATATTAGTATTCCGAAGAATCAAGCATACCATCATCCTCAAATCGCGACTGATTTGTTCAACAATAGCACCAGGCCCACCTTTCTGATATCCAGCGCCACCAAATATCTGCTGAGCCTCTCGATTCGCCATCTCAAGTATGCGACCACCATGTACCTTGCTCAAGGCGATTTGGCCCGCGATCTCGGGATCTTGCCAGCCGAGAGGCGATTGTTGGATGTGGTAAGCGAGTTGCTCTAGCCATGCCCAGTGACTCTCTACATATCGACCGATTGTAGCTAATTTGTGCGCGATGATCTGGTTGGAGATGAGGGGCTTGCCAAAAGTGTGTCGCTTGTGTGCGTAGTGGAATGACTCGCTCAGACAGGTCCGCGCTTTCCTGTTGCATCCTATGCTCATGATGAAGCGTTCCTTATTGAAGTTTGTCATGACAATGCGAAAACCCTCGTTCTCTTTACCGACAAGATTACTGACGGGAACGCGGATGTCGTCCATTTCTACGAAGCTTGCGCCTCCGCCTTTCTGACCGGAGTTGGGTATGCGACGGTGCGTAAGACCGGGTGAGTTGGTGGGAATGACTAGTACGGAGATGCCACTGGCGCCTGGTCCACCAGTACGAACGGCGGTTGTCATATGTGTGGCCCATGGCATACCAGTGATCCATTTCTTGTATCCGTTCACAATGTAGAACTGTCCGTCTTCGGTCTTCGTTGCGGTGGTTTGGAGGTTCGCGACGTCGGACTCCACAGTGATGTTAGCATTCTTCTCTTTAGTTCCCAGGAGAAGCACACATACCCCACCACCTGGCTCAGTGATGCCCAGGCAGAAACTTGTTTCCCAAGTAAATAATCCCGGCAACCACTTCTTCTTCTGCTCCTCGGTTCCATGATGCACAATCGGTGGAACACCAATCACACTTCCACCTCCCAACGCGATGCCCACGCCCCCCTCTATCCTACTATTCTCATCCGTCATAATCATCAAGTGGAACAAGTCCAAATCGCCAACCGGTATACCCGCTGGCCCCGGTACATTGCGTGGACGATATGGCTCCGGCACATCAGCAAAGGCGAAGCCAGTCTGCACCCATTTTAATCGTTCTTGCGCGGGCGCTTCGCCGGCCTCTTCCCATTCCAACATATATGGCTTTATGTTCGTATCGATGTATGCGCGGCACACATTGCGGAGTTTTTTGTGCGAATCATTGTAGTAGGGAGACGCAAGGGAGGAGTACCATGAAGGTTCGCTCCATGGTGCCAAGTTGCCGAAGGCCTCTTTCTTTTGAGGTTGCATCACGGAGGGAAGAGGTGTCGTGGTTTGGGGCTTGGGATTCGCCATCGCACTCGTTTCGTGTTGTTGCGTGACATGTTCGCAGGAACGAGGAGTCTATGTAAAGACCGCTGGATCCTACTGCGGAGGAGTCGAGATGCCGCGGCTGAACGATGGTGATCATGTTGACTCGCGTGCTAAAATGCGGGGGTGCGTTGCTGATTCGCGCACCCCTGGGGCGTTAGCCCTACCATTACTTAGATGAAGAGAACATACCGTGCAAGTGTACAAAGATTTTATGTTCAACGCACCCTAGGGATTGTGAGTGAAAAGAAGTGAGATAACGTCACGATAGGAAAGGATGGATCAATTGTGATGTGAAACCTGCGAAGCTTTATTGATGTCTCGATGCTATTTACATGGACACAAGACTTCCGGCAAGACGTCGTCCATTATTATATTCCTCCACTCGTATCTTCCTTCCGGAATGACACGTTTACCTGACGCAGTAACCACCGTCGATGAGGAGATCGGAACCAGTGCAGTAGGATGAGGCATCCGATGCGAAGTAGACGTAGGCACCCTTGAGCTCAGTAGCCTTGGCGTCACGGCCCATGGGGATCATGGAGTGCCACAGCTTCTGGATGTCCTGGGGAACGAAGTCGGAGAGACCAGTGTCAATGTATCCAGGGGAGATGGAGTTGACACGGGCAAAGTCCCTCCACTCGTTGGCGAGCGACTTGGCCAGGTGAATGCAGCCAGCCTTAGCAACGTTGTAGGAGGCCTGCTCCTGGGGGAAGTTGGCAATGTGGCCGGACATGGAGGAGGTGATGACGAGAGAGCCAGTCTTGCGCTCGCGGAAGTGGAGACCGACGGCACGGGCGCAGTTGAAGGTACCGGTCAAGTCGGTCTGGATGACCTCGTTCCACTGCTCAACGGTAGCGTCGAGGATACCGTTGTCGGCAGTCTTTCCGGCGTTGGCGATGAAGACATCGACCTTGCCGAAGTCCTTGATGACGTCCTGGACGAGCTTCTCGCACTGAGCGTACTCGTTGACCTGGCACTTGTAGGCCTTGACCTTGACGCCGTACTTCTCGCTCATCTCCTTTGCGTTCTTCTCGGCACCCTCGGCGCGAGAGTTGTAGGTGATGGCGAGGTCGGCACCGTACTCAGCGCATCCTCGGGCAGCCTCTGTGCCAATACCGGTGGGGCCGGAGGCACCGGTGACGATGACGACCTTGCCCTTAAGGCTGAAGAGGTCCTTGAGCTCGGTAGCTTGGGGAACGGTGATGGGCATTGTGGCGATTATGTGGGTTTATGAAGAGTAAAGAAGTTTGGGGTATATAAAATGGGAATTGAGTTGAAGTGTGATGTGATATGAAGATGAAAGCTGATCTGGAGGGGCACGGAGGGGTTCAAGTACTCTTTGGCAGCTGAAAAGACTTGATGGACAACTTCACGCATTAGTGGTTAGTGAGGGGCGCTGGGTCGACAGTGACGTGTGGCTCGTTCTAGGAGCCATCGGACGTCATGTCTCTGAGTTTGATTCGCCAATGGGGTTAGAAGGTGGACAGTCTGGCTCTACCATTCCACTGAGATCCTAGCGACAGACGGGGGTTGAGGTGGGTTGCTGTGACGTTCCTGCCCCTCTGTTAGCTCGCCTTACGGGAGCTTGGGCCATCTTTTCGAATGCTCCGGCGCGTGAACGCATCGCATCGCATCACTTTGCTTTTTCTTCCCACGCGTTATTATCGTTCCCGTCGACTCAGTACCTGTCTTTCAATCACACGACATAATCGCCTTACGCGCACTGCCATCGCGGGTCTGGTTGAGTGTGCTCGAGCTGTCGCACGTTTTCAAAGTGGAACCCCACGATTGATACACGACATGCGTTGTCAGCGGTTACGGCTTTGACAAAGATATTTGGCCGTGACAACCCTCGTATCTAGGCTGTTCATGCAGTCTGAAGCTGCCACGCTGCTAGCCCCGCCTCTTGTGCCATGTCGAAAGCCGATGCGCGTACAATCGGACCAGGCTTAGTTAGTCGAGACGTACTGCCAACCCGGCTGAGGGAACAGTAATCGTTACTCAGCTCTTTCTTGCCTTGGTCTTCAATCCCGATCAGAGTGAATGAATCAGCTGTGTATTCGATCATGATTGAAGTCTCTGACAGACCCTGCATGTACAGTAGCTGCAGGCGAACATGGTAGCAGCTCCGAGAATCTCTGCGCATATCGAAACGTCTCAAGCGGATCCGATCTGTCGAGCAAACCTTGGAATAGCCGGGCTAGAGCGCGTGTGATGCGGCAAAGCCGAAGGAAAACCGCGCATCCATGAAAAACTCCACGCGGGTGGAAGCTGCCTCTGAGCCATCGGTGATCTATCCACGGAGATACAATGGGGCTTTATTGACAATACATATGACGTTGCCGGTATCCGCCGTGAGCTGATCTAATCTGTCATTCTCCCATCGGTCCCGGACATGGGCAGTAGGGATTTAGTTTCTCCGATACCGCGTCGGCACGTGACACTAACCATCGGCCAAAATCTTTCATTTCATCTCAATAGATATCTACATTGTCGTATCTGGCTCGGCGCGCAGTATGTGATCCAATATCAATGTCGCAGCTGCGAACGTGAATGCGTGTAGAACCTACTAGCCAGATTAGCCAAGCACCTGCCACCGGGTCTGATGCAGCCCTCTGATTCGCAGCGCAATGGAGCTCTACACCATACTTTTGCTTCTGCTTCATCTGCCCCTGACCGATAGCTAACACGTAAACTCTCTCCAAATCTTCCCAGAAATTTCTCACCACATACCCGTTAGAGACCCGTAGGCCCGCAACGATGGTACAGAACGCGCTCCTCCCGAAGCCTCTCCCCGCAGACTCCCTTGTCGTTGGCCAACTGGTCACAGAGCCACTACACCCAGAACGCGAATCATTCTACCCCGATAAGGCACATGCAGAGGTGGACGATCTGAATGACTTCCATATCCAGCTCCGTTACAAAGATCTCTACTCGGTCGATGCCGAAGGCCGATTCACAACCAACTATGGTGCGAGGTTCGATCTGGGAAAGATATACAGACAGCCTAATCTGCTTACTGTCAAGGCCGAGCAGATGATACAGCGGACCACGCAGTCATCGTCAAGGGCCTTCCAAGCTGTGTGCAGCGACCCCGAAGCACGCATCTGGATGGCCGAGCAGATCAGGGCGGGCAAGCCCCTCTACATCGTCCTTGGCCTGACCGAGCTCAAGAACGCAACCTTCAAGCGTGCCAAACTGCGTGACGCAGGTGCCTCGAACCGTATCAATGAAACGCCCATCGAAAGGGACGCCAAAGTTCCTGGGTCCTTACGTGGCAGGTCCGAAGGCAGTTTGGGTGACATCGGCACCGAGCCATCTATATCAGGTGTGTTTGGCATGGATGTGCGACACGTTGCAGCAAGGATCACAACGCCCGTGGAGCCACACAGGCTGGAAGACATTGGATACAGGTGGTACTACTATGACGTACCGGGCTCTCAGGACAACGAACAGCTGATGGTGGGGCTGGGCGAGCAGCTGAAGGCGAACGAACTCCGTTTGATGCTCGATCTCACAGAGGACGACGTTCAGGGCAATCTCGACGCCATCAGCAAGCTCAGTCTCGATGCGTTGAGCGCTACAGCGAGCCCAATGCTTAAGCCTAGTACGCCGATGCTGCGAGGACGCTCGCCTTCTCCTCATCCTACCATGCTCCGCTCTTAGTATCGCATCCTCTCTGACGGTTATATGTTCCAAGTTACGAATAACGGTCGACATGTTTCGAAGCATCGATTTCAGTCATGGATACGTATGATAGACTAATCTTGAGCGTTTTGGGCATACGTGTATGATTCTTACGGCCTGGCATCTCTCTACTCTTTTCCTTACATAGTTATACATTTACTTTCCTCCTTTGTCCTCATCTCATCTGTAACTCTCATGTCACCTCAACGAGGCTCAAAAACTACAAGCGTTTTTCCGATGAAACGTAGTATCAATGTCATTTTGAAACGGCAGGAGCTATTTAGTGACTATATGATGAGCTTACATTTCCATCTGAATCAGCAAAGGAAGACGTAGTGCAAAGGCGTTCTGTCAATGCCTATACAACTGTCACAAAGCACACTACCAAACTTGTCAGCTTGCTTCTCTTTTTCTTTAGTCTATCTCTGACTCAGCACGACTCAGTTGTTGCGCCTCCGCTGCTGATCGCGCGCACTATGCAATAACCCTCTCACGCGATCCATGCCGCGTTCCCGACGATTACGACTACCATGACCAAAAGAAGCAACTTGGCGACCAGTTGGTCCATCCGACTGCGCCGCTACATCTTCCCATACGCCATTTCTAAGCCAAACAGCTCGACAGAGAGGACATGTCTTATCCCTATTCCACTGTCGACTTAGAAACTCCTTGAGACAATTTTGGCCGATCATGTGTTCACAGCCTACAATTCCCTTGATCTTGACGCAGTCGTGAGCGGTAGCGTCCTCCATACAGATGGGACAGTCTGTGTTTGTCGTGCTGGTTGTATTGGCGGTAGTGAGGGGTTCGGTGTGCTGTGCGATGAAGTGGTTGATACGTCGTTCGCTCCTCTCTGTGGGCACCCTGTCTTCTGCTACGGGGTTGGGATCGAACTCCTCAGGGAAGTAGCTATACAGTACAGATCCTAGGTCGTAAATATCTTCCTCTGGCTCAGTTGGAAGATGATCGAAAGGGAGATAGTCACCTGCCTGAAAGCCTTGTTGCGGTATGTGCTCGATGTGGCGTTGGGAGGGGATGCCGCTCCTCGACGAATGATGGGCTGGTTCGAAACTGTGTAGCATGAACTCAGGACGAGTAGCGGAACGATGTCTAGAAAAGATGGGGTGGCTGAAGGCGTCCTCTAATTCGCTGATGTGGAGTCCGCTGATATCAGGGATATGGTTTTGCCCACCCTGATTGAAGGGAAATCGTGAACCGGAAGAAATGCTCCTATGGCTTTCGTGACTCTGTCGCACGCCGCCAAGTCTGCAGTCAAGGTTCGACATTGCTTCCTCAAGTGCGTGCATAGAGTTACGTATGTGATTGCCGTAGTCTGGGATAGGGAAATCGTCGTCATAGCGGGAAACGTTGAGGGTAGACCGAGGAGTAACAGCAGCATTTCTGAATGGGTAATTTCGATGATTATGGGGGTGTCTAGCTTGAGGGCTGCTGCCTCGAGAGGCTCGGTGGGCGGTGTAGCTACCACCAAGATGATGTCCACGTCCACAGGATCTAGGAGAAGTGTGGCCACGAGAGCCTGTTTTGATACGTGAATGATCGAACATTTGAACGTTTTCTGCAGTCTGTATGAACCTGAAGAGTAAAATCGTTGTTTGTTCGACGATCTGTAGTTGAGACCGTGTTTCAGTCGCGACCACGAATGAGAAGTGCAAAAGGACGTAATTTATATGAGCATGGACGCTTGCGTGAAAGAGTACCTGGAAGGTAAGACTGATGTAGATTGGGATGGAACTTTGGCTGTGGCCATGCTGTTACAGTCATTGTGAACTGTCCACGTCCATAAGTCTTCAGGACTAAGTGAATGTTACTAAGGACTATCTGCCATAGGTTCGGCATGTCATCACATCGGGAACGTAGAGGTGAACAGTATGCGGAGCTCCGGAAATAACATAGAAGTCTCACAATGGGTATGCATTATGTCTCTTTTATTTCTTCCCTTTCTTCTTTGTGTCACCCTCTTTACCCTCCTTCGTAAAGCCGCCGAGCACCAAGGCCTCTCTTGCCGCGGTGTTGATAATGCGAAAGCGGTCGGGACCTAAAAGTATGCCACCATACCATCTTGTGACAACAACCATAACGTTCCAAACGTCCATTAGTTGCATCAGGTGCAACATGCGAGATCCGGCGGCAGTCTCGCCATCGTCGTCGCAGTCTTGATAGCTTGTATCGTTGGGACCTTTGATCCGCCAGGCAGTCATGTTATGAGTCGCGCGAGCAGCCTTTTTGTCTGTCGCTAGGAGATGCGCAACATACTGTCTGGCTTGAGCAGGCGATGATACCGGTGCTACGCGGGCTAAGAAGACTGATTTCTTCTCGGTAAGTGCAGGTGCTACGATCCATGGTGGTTCCGGTCCTAAATCGACGGTTGGATCAGGTATGGTGTGGGAAACATCCTCGTCTTCGACGTGATGGTCCTCATGCTGATCGTGTAGTTGGATATCCCCTTGTTGTTCCGCTTGCTCCAAGGCTTCTCTTGCTTCTTCGAGTAGGTCGTAAATACATGCTTCGCCCGGTTGGTAGACTTTTGCCAGAACTTCTCTTACAACATCGACAGCACGGCTACCCATGCCCTTGGGTACATCCTGGCCCACGCTCTGTGTGCCTAGCACTGATGGTGGTGTGTCCGGATAGTCTGCAGGAAATTCTATGCGGAGTGTTATCGATGGCAGCGAAGGTAGCCGCAGACTATATAATCTTGCGTCTTCATCTAGGGCCGATAGGGTTCCTTCGTCAAAGATAGCGTTGAGTGAGGTGACTTCATCTTGGATGGCATCGTTTGCGGACATGGTTGTTCTTCCCTTGGCCGAATGGCGGGGTGGAACTAAGCGGAAGACGCGCTAGCTTAGCGTCATTGGCGCTCGAAAACATCAACACCTTGCGACGCTCGCGTCAAACCTCCTTCCCCACCACGAACCTCTTTGTCGCAACCGCACGTCGCAAAAAATGGCGCCCAATGACGATGTCAAGCGCGCGACAAGTGTGTTAACAATCGCACAGATCAAATTCAAGCAAGCAATGAAAAAGACAGATACCGAAGATCGTCTTCCCATTCCAGTCGAAGTTAGCTCGCAGCTCTTCAGCAACATAGATGCTGTTCTTAAGCAGAACACGCGTGTGAACATCCAGGTATCTAACTATAAAGCCATTGATCGCATGTCCCTGGGAGCAGACTAATTTGCCGTTCGTAGAAATGCACAGAGTGGATCGTGAAGCACGTAGCTCCCTCCAAGGCTCGGATCGCCATCCTCGGTGACTATCTCATCGCTGTCTCCAAGTCCATTGTTGTAGACCAGAGTGCTCCAGGACCGGCAAAGAAAGCAGCCCGCAATCGGATGGATTTGTTGCTGATTGTCAACGATGTCCTGCATACTGACAAGTTCCATCGTCGCCACACGATAAAGCAGGGTATCTTCAGCGACGAATGTGAAAGCTTTGTTGTTGATTTGATCGAACAAGGAGCCGTATGTATCACTGAGAGGGCATCACAGCTAGAGTTGAAACTTAGAGCCATTATCAACTACTGGACTGTCAATAGGCTCCTCAGTACAGAGAGCCTCAAAACCTGCCGGGAAAAGGCAGATGAAGCCTTGCTCATTGCTCAAGGTGGCATGCCTGTCCGCAAGCGCAATTACCTCCTGCCAGAGTTCCACGGCGACCGATATGCCCCATGGCACGATCTCCCCGCATCATACATGCTCGAGCAGATGATCAAGTACCCGAAACGCCCAATCAACCCCTCCAAAATCCAGGTCCAGAGGCTAGACAAGAAGCCTGTCAGCCCTCACGTTCGCAACCTGCTCGACAACTTCTTTGAAAAGATCGATCTCAAGTACCTGCCAACGGGCGATAATCCGACGAGCGAGACGACCAAGTACAAACTGTCGTTGGACCCCATGGGTCAGTTGGTGAAGCAGAACAAGGAGACTGGCGAGACAGTGACAGTGGCAAACGGATACGGTTGGTCGCCGAAGTTCTGTCAAGATATGCAGAAGTTCGGCGTTCCGGAAAACATCAAAATTGCGCGAGAAGATGCTGAGCGTATGGAGGACATGGACGACCCGCCAGTCACGTCCGTGGCGCGTCGTGATGACCGACATAGTAGGCCTACTACTTCTTCGTCAGACTCGGATTACAGGCGGGAGCGAATGGGATACAATCGTAGTAGAAGTCGTAGTTACTCTCGTCGTTCCTCTGGGTCGTACGACGATGATCGCTCGCCTCCACGTCGAAGATTTCGCGAAGAAAATCAAGGGCGCCGCAGGGTCTCGCCTTCGCCATCCTCCAAGCCCACGCGTCGAGAGCTTGAGCAGAGAGGACTCGTTGAGTCAGGACGGCATTCAAGGGCATACGACAAAGATGGGTCTCAACCTGCATCGCAGTGGAATGGTCCGAACAGGAATAGCCAGGGCAGTCCGGGTAATCATCAGCACCATGTTCCGCCCATGCCGCCCCAGAACTACGGTCAACCATATTCTCAGCCTCCGCAAGCGCCTTTCAACGCGCCGCCGTTTCCGCCGCAGCATATGCCCCCGTTCGATGTCCCACCGCCTCCCCCGCCGCAATTCCAGGGACCTGGAGGCTTCGTTCCTCCTCCCCCGCCCCCCAACTTCAACGGCGGATGGGTACCTCCCCCTCCGCCTCCCAATTTCAACGGCGGATGGCCTCATCCTCTTCCCCCAAACATGAATATGCCGCCCCACGGTCCACAACAAAGCAACCCACATGGAGGCCAGTACGGCAATCAGGGTGGTAATCAATACGGCAACCAAGGCGGCAACCAAGGCGGCAACCAGTACGGCAACAATGGTCAGTATGGTCAGAACCGAGGTGGCTACCAAGGGGGACGTGGTTATGGCGGGGGACAGCGTGGCGGCAACAGAGGCGGTTGGAGGGGAACAGGGCGTGGCGGGCGATACTAAAATTAGTTGGAGAGGCCTATGGCCATTGTGTGCATGCATATCTGGTGGAGTGTGTCTTGATGTGTGGAAACCTGTAGGATACCTAGTTCATGATGGCGATCATGTTGCGGAAGCATGTATAGTTTTATAGAGGACTTGATAGTTGGGCTATTGGCGGCTTATCCATAGCTTGCCTGACAAGTTCTTGTACACTCCGTTTGCTTCTGTCCCCACGTGCTGTGATGACAAAAGTAACTTGCGCAATCATCATGCATTGGGCCTAGCACTCTAAGCACAAAGAGAACACGGGACTTATTTCAGATCTCAGTGCCCATTGACAAATCAGCTCTTGCATCGAATTGTACTCTGGGTCCTCAAAGTTCGAACCGATACTATCACCCATTCTCGTGGTTGTGAAGTCTCTTACTAGTCAGGGACGCGTCGTGACGCGTTCACCGCCAGCAGGGGTCATTATTCGGTTCGCGGATAGTCCCGCACTCATCATCACTCGCCCTCACCCTCGCCTGCCAACAGCCCAGGCGCATTGGTATCTCCACACTCTCTTTTCCACAATGGAGCTAACCTACTTGGATAAAATCTCAATTGGACGTCGCGCGTAATGGCGCACTCCAAGAGGAAGCGCAATTCTATCAGAACCAAACCAAGCAAACGAGCACGGTACATCGATTCCAGCGAAAGCGAACCCACCAACGACACTCTATGGGCAGCAGAGCGCATCTTAGACGAGAAGACCGTCCGTGGAGTGCGCACTTATCACATTCAATGGAAAGGCCTTGACCCGGAAACTGGTAAGGCGTGGGAACCAACCTGGGAGCCAGAAGAGAACGCGAACGACTTGCTTGTCGCTCACTGGGAGCAAGAGAAAGCGCGAAATTTGGAAGAAGTCCGCCGAATATCGCGAGGAAGCAGCAGAAGACAGTCTGAGCAACGGCAAGACGCTCAAGAACAGAGGCGCATTCGTAATACCCGTGTCATTGACAGCAGCCCAGAACCTGCTATCTGCTCCTCTACATCTTCAACATCTCCCAACGATCAAAGAGGCCCGCAAACCTCGGCCAGTGCCACAGCACCAGCAGACCGCGTTTCACCTCGCATTCAGATCGCACGACGTGGCGAAAGTCTCGAAAGAGACGAATACTCGC